CCGCGTACTACCTGTGCCTAGCCCAGCTCTGCACCCCCAGCCTCTACTCCCGCGCCCAGCTCAGCTCATAGACTCCCTTTTGTGCCTCCCCAAGTTGCGTCCCCAACTACTTCCTCCATGCATAAAAATCCGATGCCTCCACCGGCGGCCAAGGATTCCTCTCGTCCGGTGACACGCAACCAACACGGTATATTTAGCCCCAAAAATCTCTTTGTTTCGCAGGTTCATGTCGAGGTTGAGCCCACTTCGGTCGCTCAGGCCCTGAAAGACCCTCGCTGGCGCGTGGTTGTGTGGGCTGAGTATCAAGCCCTTCTGGCTAACAATACATGGAAGCTCGTCCCTCGCACGTCCTTCGAGAATATCGTCAGATGTCGTTGGATTTTTCGCATCAAACGTCATCCTGACGGCTCCATTGATCGCTTCAAGGCCCGCCTTGTTGTCAAGGGTTTCACTCAACGTCCTGGTGTCGGCTTTCATGACACATACAACTCTGTACTGAAGCCGGTCACTATTCGCACGGTGTTCACCATCGCCCTGTCTCACCGGTGGCCTATTATGCAGTTTGACGTTAACAATGCTTTCTTACAGGGCTCTCTTGGAGAAACAGTGTATATGGCTCAACCTCCTGGCTTTCGTGACCCTCATCATCCCGATCATGTGCTCTCTCCCTCTCTCTCTCTCTCTCTCTCTCTCTCTCTCTCTCTCTCTCTCTCTCTCTCTCGCCATCTATGGTCTTCGCCAAGCTCCACGATCTTGGTATATGGCACTGTCGGGTTTTCTTGAGGCCAAAGGTTTTGTCAAGTCTCGTTCCGATGAGTCCTTGTTCATCTATCATCAAGGCGATGTCACCCTTTACTTTTTGGTATACGTTGATGATCTTCTTCTCACTGGCAATCATGCTTCCACCTTGGCGTAATTCCAAGCTAGTCTTGCTGAACGGTTTTCCTTCAAGAGTCTTGGGCCTATTGGTTACTTTTTAGGCATCGAGGTGCTGCCTACTTCTGATGGGTAGTTGCTGTCCCAAACCAAATACATTCATGACATTCTCCAGCGCTTTGGTATGGATGATGCCAAAACCGCCGCGACTCCTCTATCCTCCATTGCTCGCCTTCTTCTCAACGATGGCACACCACTAGCCGATGCCACTCTCTACAAGCAAGCTATTGGCTCTCTTCAATATTTATTATGTACTCGACCTGACATTGCCTTCGCCGTAAACAAGTTGTCTCAATTCATGCATGCCCCGACTGAGCTTCACTGGCAACACGTTAAGCGGCTGCTTCGTTACCTCCAGGGCACCGCAACTCACAGTCTTTGTTTGTCCACTAATAGACCGTTAATTACACATGTTTTCACCCCTGTTCTTACACCGTTTGAGATGGGGTTTCTCGTGTTTTAGACCGATTTCACGCTAGGTTGTGCTTGTTTGTGATATTTCAGGTCCTGGCAAGTGAATGAAGGTTTAGGAGCGAGTTCGGGGTCGATTGGGCGAAGATCGGGCGCGAGGCAAGTCACAAAGGAAGTCGCACGGGTACACCCACAACCCACACGGCCGTGCAAGTGACCAGTTTGGCCGTGTGGGATTGTGCGAGAGCAAACACGGGCAGAGCAGAAAATCCACACGGCCGTGCAAGTGACCAGTTTGGCCGTGTGGAATTCTGCGAGGCTTCACACGGCCAGGCTGGGTGAGCTGCACGGCCGTGCGACCCTGGCCGTGTAAGAAGCCTGGAATTCAACTAAGTGATACGCTGCGTTTTGACTCACACGGGCAACTGGGTGAGCCACACGACCGTGCGACCCTGCCCGTGTGAGTCGGGAATTGCTGTTTAAAACCCGATTTTCAGCCAAAGGAAAGAGGAGAGCTGGGTTTTGGATCCCAAACACCCAAGGGACGAACCAAAGAGAGAGAGGGCGATCTGAGGGCATTCTAAGAGTGGAATTGGAGGATTTCTTCGCCTTGGAAGCTCGAGGAACAAGCCCGGACTTGAAGACTGATCATCTGAAGATTCTTACTGCAGTCTCTCTCTTCTCTATGGAGTAACTTCCCTTCACTTAGGTTTTGAGGAACCCTAGCTATGTTTGTTTGATTGGATGATTGTATGAGTACTCTGACTTGATAATCTTGAGTTCATATTCAATCTATGCATGTTTTCATGATTCAATTCTGCTTTAGTCGAGATTATTGATTCTGCTTTGATACTATGAGAGGGAATACCTAATTAGGTCAATAGAGCACCATAGATTGATAGTAGTGGATCGATTGCTTTAGTCGAGGGTTGATTCACTGCTTTGTATCGATTGAGAACCTCTTTCGATAGAGGGAGTCTAGTTCCGAACGCCTTGATTAGTTGTTCTAGAGAAGGATATGTCCCTCTAGGCAATTGACTCAAGAGGGCCTTGTTCCTTTAGTCGAGACTCAAGGTCTAATCAAGGATTCTCCGCATTGTGAATGAAAGTGAAACAAGTTAGAAATCATCAATCGTTAGTCTGGCTAGTGGCTAGGGGGAATCATACCTAAGTGAGTTCCCAACCTGTAATTTGATTAACTTTAACTGTAGTTTGCTAGAGTAGTTTTAGTTCTTTCATCTTAATCTGGTTTGCTAAATAATAAACTGAAGCTGAGTAATAGTAACTTTAGAGACCCGTGGATTCGATATTTATCACTTGAGCCACTATACTGCAGTCCCTTCCATTGGTTACACTTGGCCATTGTTAGGTGTTGTGTCATAGCGAGTCAAGTTTTTGGCGCCGTTGCCGGGGACTTTCTAGAGTATTAGGAAAGGCAGAAGTTTGTTACTTTAGCGTTTTTCTTTTCTTTTCCACCCTTGCTTTTCACTTGGGTGTTTTTGTTTTTGTTGGTGCAGATCTGAATCATGGATCCTCATGGCTTCTCCAACAATTGGGGGTATCCACCTCCACCCGAGTGGTATTACCCCGAGACTCCCTTGAGCAATCAAGGAGGAGAAGACTATGGATTCGGGTTCCAGTACCAACCCCCTTACTACTGAGAACAACCGGACCCCTGGGCATATCAAGAACAACCTCATTACCAAGAAGAATTTCTCCCACAACCAGAAGGGCCATCGGCGCTGGAGTTACCCATGGCGGCCTTCACGGGCCATTCTACAGAGCCATACTACACTCCACAGCCAGATCCAACCTACGAATTGAGGCTTCTCATGGAGAGATCATGCTCCAGGATGGATCATTGTGTCCAGGCCTTTCGTGAAACAGAGGAGATCCTCCTGAGCCTTAAGAAGAGCGTCGATGATCTTGAGCGATCTTGGGCACAACCTGCTCCAGATCACCCTTCTGCTACCATACAAGAAGAGGAGGAGGAAGAAGAAGGCTACAAGGACATTGTGGAGCACACTGAAGTTGTCACGGAGAGCTCTCGTGATGGTCATGATCAGGAATGTCATGTCGTAGCCGACCACACCTTCCCACACCCCAAACTGAGCTTCGAAGAGGCGGGCATGAGTGAGGAGATGCAAGAAGATCTCATGAAAGAAATTGCTTGGCAACTTGCTCTCCAATCCGTACTAGAAGAAGAAGAGCAAGAAAGGGTGCAGAAAGAAGTTGTGGAGGATGACGAAAGTGAAGCTGGAGGAGTTCTTGATCATTTCCCTGGGGTGATACCACATGAAGAAGGAAGGGAGGTTGAAGAAGAAATTGGCGTCCAGGCTGAGGACGGAGTTAAGGTGGAAGAGGCCTGCATCGGCCATGAGTTACATGTGATATCTCCACCAAGCTTCGAGGAACTGCTTAGCAAGGACCCATTTGCAGTGTCTCTTTGCCAGACCAAGGTCACGTCGACATCGGTCCCTCTTGGTGGACGCGATGGTGGCCAATCGATGCTGTCTTATCTGGTTTGGGGCAATGAGACGAGAGAAGAGAAGAAGATGTCTCGAGGGTGGAGACTTCATCTGCATCAAGTACATGAGCCTTCATCACCTGCCACACCACATGCTCGTGACTTGCGACTCACCTCATTGACGAGAACCTCAACTTCAAGGAGGTTCTAGCATGGACCGAAACTTAGGAGCCATCGTCCGGCTCACGACGTGAAAGAAGCGCTTGTTGGGAGGCAACCCAACCAGTCGGTTTGCATTTCTTTCTCTATTTCTCCTCGGTTGAGTCAGTTTTGCTATTTGATTTTAGAGTCAATAACTCAACCTTTGTGAGATTTTGTGTGGTGTTTGTGTTATGATTACTCTCTCTTTCTGGAATGCACCGCCTGATCCGTTCATCATCATTCACCCTTGATCTGGTAACTTCGTTCTACCCTCCTTATTATTTATTTCTTATAATTACTTACTGTTAGTAGTGGCTTAGGTCATGTACATAGAGGCTCCTTCTTTGTAGCCACACACGTTGGCTTTCTGTTGTAGAGAGGGTATTTAATATACCTCTCCTAACTAATGTAAATCATAACAACAAATCCATTCAAGTCTCCACACATGAATGGCGAGTGAGATTACAAAAAACATTCATGTTTGGTCACTGAAAATATTTAAATCCAATTTTGGTCACTCAAATTAGTTAAATAGTTCAAGTTTAGTCACTCTCCGTCCATTTTTGTTAACTCTACCTTACGTGGCAGTCAAGTTTCATAATTGACCGTTAAATACATGACATGAAAATTAAAAATAAAAATAATTTTTTAGATTTTCCACCTCATTATTACATTCATTAAAAAATAAAAAAATAAAGAAATGGAAACCCATTAAACAAATTTTAATGGGAACCAGCGGCATTCCTCTCCTCTCACCTCGCCGCCACCGACCTCAACCGGCGGCAACTCCTCGCTGCCGACTCCTCCTCCGCCGTTGCTTTTTGGGCTTTGACAAATGATCTTCGAAATTGCGATTTTGTGAGAGGAAGAAGGTGCAGCTAACGGCATGACCTATGGTAGTTTAGCAACGCCGATGTGAAGCGGGTCGGAATAGGAGCCCAGAGCCTTATGAGGATTTAGATCCTCAAAAAATTCGAGCTTCTCTATGTTCTCCGTGAGTCACTTCCTCTACAATTATGATTCCCATCTTTTATCCTTGTCAATTCACATTGATTTTTCAATTGTTAGGGTTTCTATTAAACTCACTCCTCGCTCCCCTGGCTTCCAATCGCACATTGGCCGTCCACTGGCTGCACCTCCACGTCCTCCCTTTTATCAGCGCTCCAAGATCGCCACGATCTCCGTCGGCGAGGATGTCGTCGCCGCCTCCAAGCTCCCGTTCATGTTGCCTGCCATCCGCAACGTCCACCTCGCGCTCAGGGACATCGGAATCAAGTCGATCTCCGTCTCCACGACCTTTTCCTTCATCAACATCGTCACGACGGCGTTTCCTCCATCGGCGGCAACTTTCAAGGAGCCAATCGGCAAGGCGGTGATCCGGCCGCTGCTCCCACTAAAATTTGTTTAATGATTTTCCATTTTGTTTAGTGAATCTGCGGCGAACGGAAGGAATGTCGTTGTCGGGCCAGAGGTTGTGTTCTGGTGGTGATGAGGTTGGGTCGGGTAGGGTATGGGGTGTCTAGAAAAGAAACTAGGTTTTTTTTTATTTAATGAATGTAATAATGAGGTGGAAAATATAAAAAAATAATTTTAAAATTGCCAAATGCCATGTTATGTATTTAACGGTCAACTATGAAAGTTGACTGCCACGTAAGCTAGAGTTAACGGAAATGGAAAGAGAGTGACCAAACTCGAACTATTTAATTAATTTGAGTGACCAAAATTGGATTTAAATATTTCTAGTGACCAAACATGAATGTTTTTTGTAATCTCAGTGACCAACCATGCAATTAACCCTATTATGTTCAACAAAACTTAACTATTTTTTGTCCCTCCAATCATCCCCATTCTCCTTAAAAGTAAAAAAAAAATGTCATTGACTAATATCCTAGTGAAACAAAATTTAGTGATTGATTAATCCACGAAGAAATATCAGGCGAGAAATGAACTTTTTAGTTTTTTCAATTTCTTACTCCCACACCAGTCTCAACTACTCTATCGAGTATCAACTCAAAATAAAATATACAACAAATAGCTTCGTCTTTCTCTTCCTTTTTGTGCTAACGCTTCTTTCCCTCTTAGGTGGTCCGGAAGGTTCTTGCACTCGAGATCTACTGCTTCGTTTGCCAGAATTTCTCTTATATCACCCAGATAAATAAATTTTGTTCTGCATTTCAATATCATCTACTCTGGAGTTATAAACATGGCTAGTGGAGATGATTTTCCCATCCTTTCCTGTTTTTGTGTGGTTCTTTCATTAGGATATAATGCAAAAGGGATCGTTTAAGCAGTTTGTTTGTTTTTAGTTGGATGAAAAATCAATTGATTTTGTTGTACTTGTACAGAAACTATAATAGGAAGATAAGGGTGTTTGCTCGCCATGGTCAGATTGATCAGGTTGGTTGTTTATTGGTCCAAATGCAGAAATGGAGTTTTAGTGTTATTTTTGTTTGAATTAATGGATAATGGGTCACAGTTTGTCACGGTCGCACACTAAATGAAAAGACCATAAGCCAGATCAGATCGTGATTCTAGTATCACGATCTGTATAAACCATGCGGTCTAATCTAAACGATAATTTTCTTGTGGTTTGATTTGGATTCTCCGCCCTAGTTTTGAGGTTGGCAATTATGTTGTAACTTTTTCATTGTAACGCTGGTGGACCATGGGTAAAACTATCACATGCTCTGTTTTAAATTTTACCTTCACTGTACAAACTACTTACATATTTTGTCGAGATCAATGAGTTAACAGATTTTTATTGCTTCATAGTAAAAATGTAAAATAACATGATAGTAAGAAAAGTGAAGATGAAATGACAAATAAGAATTGATGGAAGAAAACAATTCATTGTCTCCAAATCTTTGTATAAGATTTTTCATTATTTGGCCGCTCCTTCTTGCCTCGTCTTTATTCTAACGATCAAGAAATTGTCGGTGGAGAATGACAAATTATAGGAATTACTTCCAAGTCATTTTTTCGTCGAACCGTAACCCCAAATGATTCCTCCATATCTAGTCTCTCCACCTTCAAACCACTTGGAAGCTTCCAGTCAAAATAGAAAAGCATATTGGCAAGTGGTAGTTCGGTATTCGCTATACCAAACACTATCCCGGGACACATCCTTCTTCCCGCCCCAAACGGCAGATACTCGAAATTAGTCCCTTTGTAATCCACCATACCATCAAGAAACCTCTCAGGACGGAATTCTTCAGGTTCGTCCCACGTATTAGGATCCCTTGCAATCGCCCACGCATTGACCAGCACAGTTGCTTTGACTGGTATCTGATACCCACCAACCTCACACTCCTCCCTGCTCTCTCTTGGAACCAACAGAGGAGCTGGAGTGTGCAACCTCAAGGTTTCTTTGATGACCAATTTCAAATAGCTCAGCTCATTGAGCCCTGCCTCGTCTACTCTGCCCTTTTCGCCAAATACCCGTCTCACCTCTTCTTGTGCCTTCTTCATCACGGTTGGATTCCTTATCAGCTCGGAGATTACCCATTCTACCGTCGTCGACGAAGTTTCACTCCCAGCAATGAACACGTCCTGAAAACCACAACGAGAATAGAATTTGGTAAATGAGTCATGATACAGCTATAGAAGGACTCAGCAGAATTTTTGTTTTACCCCGATGACTGCTTTGATGTTATCGTTGGTCAAGCTGAATCCAAGGTGGTCACCATCTCTCTGAAGATTCAACAGAGCATCCACTAAATCCTCTGCTGCAGCCTCCACACTCTGTTCCGTTCCCCTGTTTTCCCCTGCCGTCGATCTCCTCACCCGATGTTCGGCGATGATCTTCTCCAGCAGCTTGTCTTGAACCCCGTGCAGCCTCTCGAGCTTGGCCTTCATCCCGCTCACTCTCTCCAGCCATTTCAATGAAGGGAACAGATCCGCCACCCCGAATCCGGCCGCCGCAGCCATGATTTCCTCCACAACCGGAATGTACTCATCGTCCTGCTCCTCCTCCCTCACCGTCCCGAACGCGATCCGCGACGTCACGCCGTACGTCAGCGAGAAAATCAGCCTCGAGAGGTTGACCGGGACGCCGCTGCCGGCGGCGGCGATCCGGCGGACGAATTTCGAGCCTTCCTCTTCGCGAATTGGCCGGAAAGACTGGACCCGCTTGGGGCTGAGCAGCTCGAGGGTGCAGAGCTTCCGCAGCTGCCGCCAGAAGTCGCCGTAGGCGGCGTGGGCGATGTCGGCGCGGTCGTAGGTGATGATTTTGGCGGCGAGGTTGAAGGGGCGCTGCGCGAAGACGACGTCGTGGGTCTTGAAGACCTGCTTGGCGGCGTCGGCGGAGGAGATGACCACGTGGCTGATTTCGCCGAGCTGGAGGAGCATCACTGGGCCGTGGGTTTGGGCCAGGTCTCGGAGGCGGCGGTGGGGTAAGGTGCTGCCGCGGCCGGCCAAATGGTGGATGTGGCCTATTATGGGTAATCTCCATGGGCCTGGTGGTGGGCTGGGTTTTGATCGTCGCTTTTGGGTCCACCGGCGGATGATCAGTAGGAAGGAGAAAAGGAAGATGGTGAGGAAGGAGAAGAGAATCGGGACGGGGAGAGCTTTGGGATCCATCGTTATGGGATTTGTTGAGGATAAGGATATATGATCTGTGTTTTATATAAGGGGAGTGGAAAGCTGATCAAATTCAATCACCATTGAACAACTGTTGTCATTTTGATCAAGGTAGTACCAAGTAGACTGGACTTTTGTGTAATCAAATTCAAAATCAGTGGCGCTACTTTCTTGTAAACCAAAATTGGCGGCTGGAAATCGAGAGTTTAGGTACCAAGTAGACTGGACTTTCAAAACACAATCGATATGAGAGAGATACATCCTTACATTCCTCAACCAACTTTGCAATTGTGAAAGACAGAAGTTCAGGGGTTCTGATTTCAACGGGCAAAAGCCACAAATTCCCAGTCATTATCCTTATCAACCCATGGATATACAAACTCCGCTTCTTTAGAAACACGCTTATATCTCAACGCCTCCATCGAAAATTTCATAACCATTTTAGAGCTCAAAGTATGTGCAGCTGTAATGTGAACCAGTCGAAGTAGAGGGGCAGTGGCTAGGACGAACCTCACAAGGTCCAGCTCAACCTGTGTACCACAGCTATCCTCAATTGTGAACTCCCTAAGATGTTGAAGGCATTTAGAAGATCCAAAGCAGTCATCTGCTTCCAATAACCTCCGTATGCTGCTAACTTCATTCTTTGTGGGCTGATCATCTAGCATGCTAGGATTCAGCTACAACAACATTTGTGAAGGAACCAAAGTTAGATAATAAAAAAACAAATTATACACCTCACAGATCCTGCAAACAGAAAGCTCAGTTGACAAACACTACGAACCTGAATTTTGAGCCTATGCAGGTTTGGAGAACTCATGATCAAACAAACAAAACCATGCTCCCGGTCCAGACTATCAAAGTCAAGGTCAATAATTTCGAGGACTTCTAACTGGTGAAGAGGAGAAGGAAGCCTGGAGGAGGGGACATTTCTATGACCTGCAGTAAGGTTCTGAGAAAACCAAGCACAATGCACAGCATGAATGAGTAAAAGCAACCCAGAAGGCGTTTTCACAAGAATCAAAATTGGTTGTGAAAAAAGTAACTTACTTGCAGGAATCCACCGTTAGTACAGAACTTTTGGATTGTTGGAATAGAAGCAAAAAGAGTTGCCATGTCATGGATGTCGGGCTCATACAGAAAAAGTGCGACAAATGACAAAAGGGGAGTGCCCTTGAAACTGATACCCTTGAGGGCCCCCGCAAAGTGGAAGGATTTGAGAGATGGAGACACGATTTCAAGCTTATCAGGAGGACCGTCACAATCTATAACCATCAAGTATTCAAGCATTGGGCACTTGGCAAGGAAATTCTGGAAGAAATCGTAGGGCAAATCAGATTCTCCAATTCGTAGATCGGTAAGCTTACTGAACCCATCAAACCAAGACGGTGGTGTAAATTCACAGCACTGAAGTTCCAGGGATTTCAGGTGAAGTGCAGAAAACAGAGAAGAATGCATCTGATAAGCATAGTTAGGGTCAAGACCCTCGAACCAGAGGGTAAAGTCTTGGACACCTTTATTAGAAAGGTAAAGAACGATGAGGTCCATCTCATCATCGCAGGACACTAATCCAGGGATAGAAAGCTCAAACTTGGTTATTGGCCAATCATGAAGAAGTAGGGCCTTGTAGATGTTCAGCATTGTAAGCTTACTTCTCACCTTTGATTCAGATTCAGCCTCTGTAATTATTTGAGCAAAACGACTATCAAAACAAAGTTGAGGAATACTTCTCCACTGATGCCTCCATTTGCTTGACAAGACGCTAGTTTTGGCAGCATCTTTAATGGGTAAGAACACGAGAATGCGATGTACTACATCGATAGGAAGGCTGGTGATTCTATCAGCACTGTACTGGCACACCCTCTTCATCCTGCAGATACAGATAGATTTCAGTCAGCTAATAACTACCGATTCGGATAACCAAGCACAGATATAGAAATCGCAGAACAACGCAGGAAATCAATTCGGTTCCAAGGGAAAGCTCATAGAACTGTAACTTGGGAGAAAGCGTTCGATTACGTTGTCGAGAGTGTGAGCTACTTGGACTAAGACCTGAAAGGACCCGAACCGAAATCGAAACTCTAAATGGCGCAAAATTGCGAGAGGCAGCAAGGGCGAGTGAGAGGGCGGGCGATTACAGATTTTCAGTCCCCGCAGAAACTGAAATGGTACGAAGAGCGAGAGAGACAGAGCGCCTGGGTAGTTTTACTGGTTCAGATTGAGTTAGGGTTTGGTCAATTTCGTCTTTGAATCCATATCATCTGACAATAGTAGCAAATCGGCGCCAATGCATTTGATTTTGGCGCTGAAAGTAAAATGTCGTTTAAGTGTTTGTCCAGAAATACCCTCATTTAACTACTTTACCTAATCCCGGTTATTTCTCCCATTCTTCCACGCGAAAATCTGAGATCCAACTTGACTCGACAATAGGGATGGTCATGGGGCAGGTTAGTCTAAACCATCCCATTCCGTTTTCAAGTATCTAAATTCATACTTGCCGCCTGATATTCATGTGGTGATGAAGTGGTAGCGCTAGTATCACTATCTGATGGAGTAGTACGCTATTAGTGGGGGTTGTGAAAATGAGAACTCTTAAAGGTTATGACGTAATCTCATCCTGACAAAGACCTAATAAAGATGTGTTGCTTGGCGATCGATCCTGCGTTCCTAATGTCGACAAAATCATAATCCTCAAGGTGTAGGGAGCTCGCCGGACAATACGTCGACGGCACTGGCATCGTATATGTTAACAACAGAAAATAGAAACAATGGCAACTCTTTAACTTTGCTATTGAAATTGACGCTAAATGGTGATGATAAAAGTAGGTTTCACAATTTATAGGTAGAACATACATCCTCACATTCCTCAACCAACATTGCATTCATACAGGGAGAAATAAAAGAAGTAACCATTGAAATTGTAAAGAGCAAAAGTTCAGGAGTAATATGATTTCAACAGGCTAAAAGCCACACCTACAATAGATCCTCATCGTTTCAATCATGTATTCTTATCAACCCAGTGATATACAAGCTCGGCTTCTTCAGACACACGCTTATATCTCATTGCCTCCACTGTGAATTTCATAGCCTTTTTAGAACTCAACTGATGTGAAGGTCTAATGCTGATCCGACGAAGTAGTGGGGCAGTGGCTAGGACGAACCTCAGTATGTCCAGTTCAACCTGTGTACCACAGCTATCCTCAATGGTGAACTCCCTAAGTTGTTGAAGGCATTTAGAAGATCCAGAGCAGTCATCTGCTTCCAACAACTTCCCTGTACTGCTAACTTCATTATTTACCGGCGGGTCATCTAGATGGCAGGGATCGAGCTGCAAGAGCATTTGTGAAGGAACCAAAGTCAGGCAAATTTATGCACCAAATAGATACTGTAAAACAGAAACATCAGATGGAAAACAACAACGGACCCGAATTGCAAGCCTACGCAAGTTGGGAGCACTCATAATCAAACAAACAAAAACATGCTCCATCTCCAGATTATGAAAGTCAAGATCAATCATGTCGAAGACTTCTAGTCCGTGCATAGGAGAAGGAAACTTGGTAGGGACATTTCCATTACCTGCAGCAAGTTTCTAAGAGATAACCAAGCACAATACACAGCATGAGTGAGTAAAGCAACCGAGAAGGCATTTTTACACGAATCGAAATTGGTTTTGACAAAGTAACTCACGTTCAGGAATGCAGCGCTAGCATGTAACTGCTTGAGTGTCGGGATAGAAGCAAAAAATGCTGCCATGTCATGTGTTTCGGTATCAACCGTATAAAGTGCAACGAATGTCAAAAGTGGAGTACACTTGAAGCTAATAACCCGAAGGGACCCCGCATAGTGGAAGGATTTGAGAGATGGAGCCACAATTTCAAGTTCAACAGCAGGACCTTCACAATCTATAACCCTCAAATATTCAAGCATAGGGCACTTGGTTAGGAAGTTCTCAAAGAAATCAGAGGGCAGAGTAACCTCTCCTAATCGAAGATGGGTAAGCTTACTAAAGCCATCAAACCAAGATGGGGGCATCAATTCACAAGACCGAAGTTTGAGGGATTTCAGGTGAAGTGCAGAGAACAGCGAGGAATGCATCTGATAATCGTCTGTGCTACGTTCACTAGTGTCAAAGATACGACTGTCGAACATAAGGGTAAAGTCCTGGACACCTTTATTAGCAAAGTAAAGAACGATGTGGTCAATCAGATCGCAGAAGTTTAACCCAGGGATTGAAAGCACAAACTTGGTAATTGGTCCATCATGAACAAGCAGGGCCTTGTAGATGTTCAGCATTGTAAGCTTACTCCTCAAATCGGATTGGGATTCAGACACCCTATTTATTCGAGCAAAACGACCATCGAAAACAAGTTGAGGAATACTCTTCCAGTTATGCCTCCATTTGCTTGACAAGATGCTAGTTTTGGCTGCATCTTTGATGGGTAAGGAGACGAGAATGCGCTGTATCACGTCGGCAGGGAGGTTGGTGATTCTATCAGCACAGCTTTGGTACACCCGCTTCATCCTGCAGATCAATAAGATTGCGATTGGGATTAACCTTATTGTTGTTAGCACAAAGACTGAAAGGCAGGTAATCCGTTCGATTGAGGGGAAAGCTCGGTGATCGGTAACGTGGAAGAAAGCAGTTGATTACCTTGCTGCGGAGGACGAGTTACTTTGATTAAGACGTGAAAAGGGTATAAACCGAAATCGAAACTCTTAAACACAGGATAGTAGCAAAGAAGGTGCGAAATGAAAGAGACAGGGAGCGAGCTACGTACAGATTTTCGTACCCCAGACTGCGACGGATAGAGAGGGGGAGAGAGTATTTTTGCTGGTTCGCCGGCGGCTAGGGCTTCGGGGGTGACTATTGAAGGAGGAGGAGTGCGGCAAGGCATCGATTTGGCGCTGAAAATAAAATCAGGGTAAATTGTAATTTCCAAAAATACCCTCCTCTTATTTAATAACGAGAACGTTTACCAGTTTGTTTTTTTTTTTAATCAAGATAAGCCCCCAGGACATGGCCGGACAACAAATATATAAGACAGATAATAATAAAGAACGGTAGTCCGTATGCAACCGGACTCCCGATGAAAGAGCCTGTTATGCCACGAGATGGGCAGCTCTAAGAAAACTCCGAAGAGCAAAATGACACGAAACTGACTCAGATAGAGAAGAGAGGGAGAATACTTCCCCATGAAAACTCGTAAGGGTGAAATAAGGCATCTTGATTGCGTCTAAATATGGCAGGAAAGGAAGCATCCCCTGCAAAACAAGACAAATGAACTAGCATATACAAGAAAAAATATATCCCACTTAAATAAAAGAGGACTCTATCAGAATTACCAAGCACGACAACAATAAAAGTTGTAGCAAAAAAATATAGGTAGCAATCAATTTCCAAAGGCCGAAAATTTAAATAAATAAAAAAAACCATTTGAAAAATTTGACACTACTAAGAAAGTCTTTTTTTTTTTTTTTTTTTTGACAAAAGATAATCATGTATTGATTGAGAACAAAAGGCAATTACACCCTGGAATTCAGCCAGGCCTGATAATCAAAACGACTTGTAGTCGGGTACAAAGAAAGGGCTTTTTTAGCCACCAAATGAGCTACCCTATTGCTACGCCGGCCTACAAATCGCACCGTAAATCCCACATTCATGTCAAACAGCTGGACCACCTCCTCCAAAATCGACCCCACGTGACTATCTGTAGCCTCCCGCCGCAGAATCTTCTCAATGACCACCTGGGCATCCCCCTCAAAGCGCACCATAGTAAAACCATTGTCCAGACACCAATAGACTGCCTCTCGGAGAACAACTGCCTCACTCACCAAAGGGTCCTCCAGTCCCGGGAGCTGAATCCCCCTGGCTAAGAGGATCGCTCTAGCAGAACTCATGAGAACCATTCCCCCTGCTGAGTGAGACCCAGTCCGCACAGCCCCATCCCACATGCAGACCACCCCAGGTGTCTCCACCGAATCTAGGGGGAGACTGCGAGAAATCGGGCAATGGACAACCTGAGTCGCCGGAAGATCAACCCACTCCTGGACCTGTTGGTTAAGTTGACGCATTAGGGCCGGGATCCCAAATTGCTTTCCTTCGAAGACAACCCAGTTGCGAGAGCGCCATATACGCCATAATACAGCCACTACCAACATTAGCGACGAAGGCTGGCTCAGCAACGCCATCAATCTCTTTAGAAAGAGCGGGAAGGTATGTCGAGGCAGTCCCTCGCCCAGGTGTGCTATCCCCGAGTGATCCCATAGGGCGCGAGCCACCGGGCACTCTAGAAACAAGTGCTCCAGAGTCTCCGATGCCTCCCAACACACAGGGCAACGAGGCAAGACCTCCGCCTTCCTCTCAATTAGGGCCTCCGTAGTAGGTAGGACTCTATGGAATATCTGCCAGAGAAACATCTTAAGCTTAGGCGGTATATTAGCGTCCCACAACCTGATCCAGCTGGCCTTATCCATCCAGCTGACCAGAGCCCTCCAACGACCTCGCTGTCGATCCAAGTTGACCGCAACGTAATAAGCAGATTTAACCGTAAAAACACCATCTGGGGTCGCATGCCAGATCAATCGATCCTCAATATTCTGCCTGGGTAGGGGAATAGCTTGAATAGCTCGGCAAGTCTGTTGATCAAACCATTGTTCAAGTTTGCTCACGCACCAGGCCCCTCCACCCGGTTGAATCACCTCAGCCACAGTCAACTCCTCCCCCTCCGGAATCACACAAGGATTAAAGACTGGAGGGGAGGGATGTTGCTGCGGGATCCAACTAGACGTGAGAAGAGGGGCTTTATGCCCATTGCCAATCTGCCAACGTAATCCCTTCTCCAACAACTGACGGCCAAAGAGGATGCTCTGCCAACCCCAAGATGGACGCGATCTAGTTGTCGCTGTGAGAAAGGACCCATTGGGGTAATACTTTCCTTTGTACACCTGGGCAAGGAGAGAATTAGGCTCCTGAAGGAGTCGCCAGCCAATTTTAGCAAGGAGTGCCTGATTGAAATGCTCAAACCGGCGAAAGCCCATCCCCCCTTCATGCTTACTTTTGCACATGTTCCGCCAAGAAACCCAACGTATCCTTGTCTTACCATCTTCGACCCCCCACCAGAATCGCGCTATATGCTTATCCAGAAGGCGACAAAGGGATAAAGGCAGTTTAAAGCAAGACATGACATGGAGCGGCAGAGCTAAGGCCACTGATTTAATAAGTACCTCTTTTGCCGCCCATGACAACGTTCTACGTTTCCAACCCTGTAGCCTAGCCAGAAGCTTCTCCTCAAGGTACCGGAAAGTCGCCAACTTAGAGCGGGTAATGAGGGAAGGGAGGCCAAGATATTTATCCTGGACTCCCACAGCCCCGACACCAAGGATTGCTGCCAAGAATTCCTGATCTGCCAAAGCGATATTTTTACTAAAACAAACGGCAGACTTCTCTAAGTTCACCCTTTGGCCACTAAGCTCCTCGTATTCATTGAGAACCTCAATCAAATTCTCACATTCCTGGAGAGACCCTCGCAGGAAAAGATAAGAATCATCAGCGAAGAATAGATGCGAAATACGAGGCGCACGCGGGGCCACCTTCACTCCTTGTAACTTTCCCAAATCAATGGCTTTCCTTAACAAGGCAGCAAATCCTTCCGTACAGATGACAAACAGGAGAGGCGAAAGCGGGTCGCCTTGCCGGAGACCCCTCGACGGGGCAAAGAAACCAGCCGGAGACCCATTCATGAGGACTGAAAAAGTGGCAGACTGCAAGCATTCCTGAACCCAACCCCTCCAAACCGAGCTAAAACCCATTTTCTCCAAAACCGCCAGAAGGAATGGCCATTCGACTCTATCATAGGCCTTTTCCATGTCAACCTTCAGAGCCATGAATCCCTTCTTCCCCCGGGTTTTGATTTTCAAATAGTGCATCAGCTCATGGCCTAGAAGGATGTTCTCCACAATCTGCCTCTCTCGGATAAACGCATTCTGCCCCTGGGATATGATTTGGGGTAGCAGCAAAGCAAGCCTCTCTGCCATAATTTTGGTGATAACCTTGTAAATAAATTGACAGAGGCTAATAGGCCGCAATTGACGCATTGACTCCACCTGATCCACCTTGGGTATCAGGGTCAACCAGGTGTGGTTGAAACTACGCAGCATTCGATTTGTCTCGAAGAATGAGCCAACCGCCTTGATTACCGAATCCCCAACAATTCCCCAAAATGATTTGAAGAATTTACCCGTAAAGCCATCCGAGCCAGGTGCTTGCTTAGAGCCCATATTGAACACCGTCCTTTGTATTTCACCAGGGAGGACCTCTGCCGTTAGCACCGCATTCATCTCCAGCGATACACAAGGCTCGATGGGGAGATCCGCCACCCGCTCATTTACATTGGGCACCTGGTTCTCCGATGTAAAGAGGGTGTGATAGTAACTGGTGGCAATGTCAGCCTTTCCCTGTTCCTCAGTAACCCAATCCCCTTCATCATTATATAGGCCAGCCACATAATTCTGCTTCCTCCTTGCCCTTGTGACTGTATGAAAGTAGGAAGAGTTTTTATCCCCTTTTTTCAGCCACTGGACCCGAGATTTTTGTTGCCAGTAGCTTTCCTCCGCCTCCCATTGTCGATTCAGTTCAATTTCCAGCCCATTCACCTTGTGCCAATCCACAGGATGAACGGCTTTTATACGCTCAATCTCATTCTGCAAAGTATGAATATTTCGCAGGGAGTTCGTAGTACCCGCTCTACTCCAATCATATAGCAAATGGCGGAGTTTTTTCAACCGTGTCCATAATTGGAACATAGGGGTACCAGAGATACTCTCTTGCCAGACATAAGCCACCATAGCCTTTACTTCCGGGTTCTCTGCCCATCTTGCATCAAACCGGAACAGCGGCCGACACAATCGGGTATAAGGTTTATCAGACAGCAGAAGAGCCCGATGGTCAGACCCCTGATCCGTGAAATGCTTAACTAGGGTCTCCGGGAATCGATCCATCCAACCATGAGAGCACAGGGCCCTGTCAAGCCGTGCCCGAATACAATCCAACCCCATCCGCTTATTGGTCCAAGTGAATATATCTCCTTGGAATCCCGGATCGTGGAGCCCAAGATTCTGGATAAGGTGACGTAGGTCCAAAGATTGTGAAGCACTCCATGCGTTTCCCCCCTCTTTCTCAGTTTCATTAAGGGTGGCATTAAAGTCGCCAATGATTACAAATGGGAGATCAAGCCCCTCTCCGATTTCACGCAATTGAGTCAATTGAGCAGCACGAACTGTCAAGTTGCAACTCAAATAAACACAAATCACCACATACGAAGAATTATTCTCATTAATCCTTGTGCAAATGCAAAAATTAGAATGGAAAAACACTGTCGTCTCAATTTCTGGGGACCACGCTACAACTAGGCCACCAGAGCCATTGACGGCATCAACAAAAAAACATTGGGAAGAATCAAAACCTAAACCTCGCAACCTACGGGAAACGACTCTCCGGCACGATCTTGTCTCTGAAAAGAACACAAGGTCCGGTTTGTTTGATCGAACCAACCCTAAAGCTGATTGGAATGTGAGAGCTGGTCCAATTCCTCTCACATTCCAAGCGAGGATCTTCATTTATCGGACTGGGGCCACTCTTGGCTGGCTACCTCCACCATATCAGCACCACTGGGTTCTTCCACAAAATGTTTCTTTGGACTGGGGGCCTCTGCAATCGCACCCTCCACTTCCTCGAGCGATCTCTTCCTACTGCCCGATCCCAAATTAGTTCCATATTCATTGAGCTTCATGATCATCTCGCCCTCACCATGATCCGAAGTCTCCTGGCGATTATTGATCACCAAATTAGCCTCAAGAGCATCGACCACCTGCCGAACCTGACCCGGCTGAATTTGGTGGCCATGGTCGAGCTCCGGGTTTCTGATTTTAATTTCGAACCGGCTCTCTTCCTCCTCAGAGAGGGAAGCATCCGACTCAATTGGCTCCTTGGTGCTTTTCCTCTGTTCCATA